ACATTATTATTTTGATCATTTTGATTTCATTAGTATTCATTGCATTATCCAGAACGCAACTGCCATGTTGAACGACTCAATTGTCGTGTGAAATGTTTCGATTTTCACAAATTCCTATAAAATTTTTCATTTTTCACTGATTCACAGAAGTCTTTCACTTTTTATTAGTTCACGCTAGGGAAAAGATTTATGATCGCTGCCCCGAGCAGCTACAACGCTTTTCGAATCATTTATGTCGGCGTGCTTTTACTCCTCAGATTTCTGTCATTAATAACTCGATAATAATTGCGAATCTCGCAAAATGATATGGGACTTTTATGTTTGTCTTAACTCAATCTACCCTCATACTTCGGGTTGGCAGCTAATTACCGGACACTTCGTATGATCTTCGTGATATTAATCATACACAATGTCAATTCTTTTTTTTGCACATGTTAATATGTTAATTCATGTTATAAATGCGTAACAATGTGCGGGACCGTGCTTGTCAAGTACGCTATTATGGTTGTAGCACGGACATAAACCGCCTAAAAATGGATGTAGCACGGACTGCCACCACATACAGATTTTACCGCCGAAACCTGAAAGTGGATGTAGCATCGTAGTTCCTCTCTCAAAATGGATGCAGATGACGTCCTTTCCCAGTGCGGAAAGTCGGTGTCGTCCAAAACACCGTGTTGGTCGCTCTCACGTTCCTCTCTGGTAATACGAGGGTCGTTGAATAAGTCCTTAGAAAATCCAAGAGATGGCGCTCATAGTATCGAAAATGGTTTGTTTTTAGTAAGCATCATTACTCACTAGACAGCTGTTAAAGTCTCAATTATATCCATCACATGATTTCATTTTTATTGTCGATTGAAACAGCAAACTTTTCTTTATTTAGAAAAATGGAAAAAAGTGAGTTTCGAATGTTGATTAAACACTTATATTTAAAAGGCTTAACACTGAAAAAGATTAAAGCTGAGTTAGATGAAGTTCATGGCATATTTGCTCCTGTGTTTGCAACTGTTTACAATTGGATAAATGAGTTTAAACGTGATCGTATACTCGTGAACTAAAAGGTATGTGCACCGATTTTTTGTTGACTTCGGAACGCGCTTCAACTTGAGGAGAAAGACAACCACTGCTTCATAGGTCAGCGCTGTCACTTATTACGAGAGCAGAAGGATGGCATATACGAGTGTCAAATAAGTAATGATTGTGGCGTAGACACAAATATCTTGGAGACTTTGAGTTATAATTGAAGAAATGAAGAAAACAAATAGTGATTGTGAAGAAAAGTGGCAAAAGGCTTCATAAAATTTGTAAAACAGCATATTAAAGGAGAATATTAATTGTCTAATAATATTTTAAGTGAAAAATATTTTTAAATTTGAGTGTAAGTTAAAAAAGTTATAAACCATAATTTCTTTAATGTTAATAAATTTGTCATCGACGTTGAATGAATATACATATAATGCTATTATTTCCATAGGTGAGGAATTATATTATTGTGTTCAGCAGAAGTAAGCAGCAGACCAAGTTGAGTGATATGAGTATCTTGTTAAAAAAATATCACTCGACTTGGTCTGCTGCTTATTTTTTATGAGCGCAATAACATAATTTTTCACCTATGATAGCAGATGATAGTAAATGATAGCATTACATACATATTCATTTAACGTCGATGGCAAATTTATAGCTATAAAATTATTAACATTAAAGAAATTATGGTTTATAACTTTTTTTTAACTTACACTCAAATTTAAAAATATTTTTCACTTAAAATATTATTAGACAATTAATACTCTCCTTTAATATGCTGTTTTACAAATTTTATGAAGCCTTTTGCCACTTTTCTTCACAATCACTATTTGTTTTCTTCATTTCTTCAATTATAACTCAAAGTCTCCAAGATATTTGTGTCTACGCCACAATCATTACTTATTTGACACTCGTATATGCCATCCTTCTGCTCTCGTAATAAGTGACAGCGCTGACCTATGAAGCAGTGGTTGTCTTTCTCCTCAAGTTGGAGCGCGTTCCGAAGTCAACAAAAAATCGGTGCATATACCTTTTAGTTCACGAGTGTACATCCACAAAAGATAAACATCGTTCGGGACGTCCAGTGGAAGTGACTACCCCCGAAATGATTGACAAAATCTACGATATGGTTTTGAGTGATCGACGAATCAAAGTGCGCGAAATAGTTGAGGCCATAGGCATATCGCAAGGTAGTGTTTTCAATTTTACACGAAAAATTGGGTGTGAAAAAAATCTCGGCAAGATGGGTGCCGCATTTGCTCTCAGTGGAGAATAAATGCAATCGTGTGGTCGACTCTGAGGCTATTTTGGCGCTTTTCCGTCGTAATCCTAACGAGTTTCTGCATCGATACATAACTGTGGACGAAACATGGATACACCACTACACTCCAGAGACAAAGGAACAGTCAAAACAGTGGGTTTTTGAAGACGAACGGGCTCCGAAGAGGGCGAAGACGGTGGAATCGGCCGGCAAGGTGATGGCCACGGTTTTTTGGGATGCACGCGGAATCATCTACACCGATTACTTGGAAAAAGGACAAACAATAACTGGAGAGTATTATGCGTCGTTATTGCATCAGTTGAGCGAAGAAATCAGGAAAAAACGTCCTCATTTGAAAAAGAAAAAGATCCTCTTCCATCAAAACAATGGGTGCACACCTGCGCAGTTTCGATGGCCAAAATTATGGAATTAAAGTTCGAATTATTACAACAATCCACTGTATTCACCGGATTTGGCCCCAAGTGACTTTTTTTTATTTCCAAACTTGAAAAAATGGCTCTGCGGACAACGGTTCACATCGAACGAGGAGGTCATCGCTCAAACAGATGCCTATTTTGAGGACCTTCCGAAATCCTACTTTTTGGACGGCTTAAAAAAGTTGGAGAAATACTTGGAAAAGTATATAGAGCTAAAAGGAGATTATGTTGAAAAATAAAAAAAAATCTACCCAAAATAATTTGTTTTTCTATCTTTTTCTAAGGACTTATTGAACGATCCTCGTACTATTATGTTGCTAGCTATAGTCTTCCCAATAAGCGGTACGCGCATCGAGAAAGCGAGATAGAAGATATAATATATCATATAGGATAGATGACGTTATATAGGGTCTGCCAAAAGTTCCGGAACGGCTAATTATTTAAAAAAATAATGATTGTTTAAAACAATGTTTGAAACAAAAGTTGTAGGGTTTAAAAGAAGCTATCAGCTATTGGTAATTGTTTGACCTTGCAATGACATTGAGAAACGTTATCAAGGTCGACATAAAAATCTTAAATAGAAACTCAAATTTTTTATTACACCGTCTTTTTCCACCAATTAATTTGAACAACTTTTGTCTGAAACATTTTTTTATTTGCCTAATATTTTTTGAGATTTAAGGATAACTTGATAACTTTTTCAATATTTAACTTACGATATCTCGCTAACTGTTTGTCGGGAGAAAAAATGATACAAGACTTTTCTATTCTATTTAATCTCAAGAATATATTGGTACAATAATGCTCTATTTTATGTTAATTTGTCGATCTTTCGAAATTTCAAAATCAAATTTCAAATTAACAAAAGTCAGGGCGCTATTGTAACAATATATTCTTGAGACTAAATAGAATAGAAAAGTCTAGTACTATCTTTTTATCCCGATAAACAGTTAGCGAGATATCGTAAGTTAAATATTAAAAAAGTTATTAAGTTAAATAAATAATAGAATTGAATTATTTTTATTTGTTTCTTTTTTATCACTTTTTATATAAGCCAATAAATAACGTATTTAACTGATAAATTAGGTTAAACTGGTTAAACTAACGAAACTGATTAGATTATACTGGTTCAACGAACGCACGCATGTGCATTTGCGTGAAGTACACAAATTGTGGAAGTGAGAGGTTGATATACGTCTGCACTGTGATATTTTCGCCAAAGTTTGAGCTCTTCTAGCAATATAGTAGTACATATATGGCGAAAACACTACTACAGGCAATACTCCTTCCAGTTGGTTCTATAGTTCATTGGTGTCTCGTCGATGACCCAATCTACCTGCTCTTGCATTCGCCCGAGTAATGCATTATGGTGAATTCGATTGGATGCACTAATACGTACCGAGGGTGGGTTAAGGTCCATTCATAGCCCGGGTTTTATTTAAGTTTATCTCAAGTTCATTTACATTTACTCTTTCACAGCTAATGAAACGGTCCTTACAACATACATACAGATCGTTTCATTACCTACGAAAGATTAGAAGATGAAATTAAGATAATCATAAATAAACAAACGGACTATGAACAAACTTTGCCCGTCCTCAGTGCGCACATTCAATTCGTTATGAGTTTCGTGCGTATCGAAAAATTTAATTTTTGTCCAACGAAAAATGTCGATCGATCATTTCCGAAGTACAACGATTGAAAAAGCTGATATTTTTTGTGATCTAAATTTGAATAATCAAGTGCACTGAGAAAAAATTGTATTAAAATTGAACAAATATTTGTTCGAATACGACTGTGAATATATTTATTTAAATTAAGCAATTATTTTCTAAAATTCACGAAAAAGGTTTACATTTAGAACTTCTGTATTTAATTTTAGAAATTAGTTGTTTAATTTGAACAAATGTATTCACAGTCGTATTCGAACAAATATTTGTTTAATTTTAATACAATGTTTTCTCAGTGTGGATAATAATATTATTCTCTTCAATTAGTTTTAAGTATATTTACTTTAAGAGAATTTTAAATTAGAATTTATTGTGTGTTATGAAGATATGTTGGGTACAATATTATCTGCAAAATATTGTGTTGCAATAAATCGTGTTGAAAATTGAAAAATTGTAACTAATTACCTTTCACAATATTTTTAGCAAGAAATAATTGTACTTGAACTTTTCCGTAAGATTAAATAAAGTAGCTTTGTTTTAACTAAGTTTTGATATTGATTTGTATGAGTATAAGAGATAAAATTCCGATAACACAATAGAGAAATAATATATGAGAAGATACATGTGTATATTTCTCGCAAGTACGAGCTCATAAATGCTCGGTATATACATTCCTTTGTACAAGAAAAAATAACAGTTTTACCTATTACATGTCTCTTCCAATCTGTTGCACGATTTCTCTTTCTGTGATTCTCTACATCTTCTTTAGTATTAACCCCAAGTCTCGCACTGATATCGATTGCTTTTCTCTAAATGCCCGATGAATACTTCCGCCTCTTCTTTCGACATTTCACCTGTTTCCTTCGCTAAACAGACGAATTCGTCACGTACATCGTTCGGCATGTTTTTCGAGTTTCCTGCTAGATAAATGTTGCCACCGTCCCGTAAAAATTGCCAGCACAACTCTCTTTGTTGACGTATAATATGTTGCACATACCTGAAAAATATTCGGAAAACATTAGAAACAAAATAGAGACAAAAATAAAAATGGTTTTTTACTCATAACATAATAATATAATTTTAATTTTATAGTAATCAATATTTTACTTATTATTTTAAAATATATGTTGCATTATATGTATAAATTATAATTTATATAATTAACATACACACACATATGACAACTAATATAACTATTCTATTTATAATATGACATATGGAACAATTAGTTTCGCAAACCTTGTCACTTGTCTCCTACAACTCACTGAGTGCTTTAGCATACTCACACTTTATTCTCTTGGTCCCTGGAGAATGCGCAAAACACTTTCAAGTCCTTTTGCTTAGACAGTCTCTCCAGATCATCCTTGCAATGGTAATCCTTCTCCTTGTTCCTACAGCCAAAGAAGAGCACATAATCCTTTAGACTCTTGTTAGTTATAGCTCTCTCGAGAAACAGAGACCTAAACGGCGCCAGTCCTGTGCCAGGACCAATCAGAATCATCGGCTTGTCCTTCGTGAACTGAAAGGTCCCCTTTTGCAACCAGAACACCACCTTGTCGTTACTCTTCAAACCAGCTAACCACTGCGAACACAAACCGAAACGCGGCTCCAACAGCCTCGTCTTGTACCTGACAACTGCTACCAGAATCTGTATCGCGTTTGGAGTAGTTTTCGAGCTGGAGGCGATGCTGTAAGCGCGCGGTTTCACAGGAGACATGATTTCGAAAAGTACCCTCGCGTTTAGCTTGCTGGTAGTATGCGGAAAGTCCGCCAGGAGTTCCAGGATATTTCTTCTCGGTCTGTTGATGTAGTCGTACAGCTCCTCTTGGCCAGTTGGACTGGAAAACTCGCAAAGCTTCTCCTTCTCCAGTTCGTTCTCACTGATTAAGGACAGAGTGTACATAGTGGATCGACGTGGCTTGAAGTTCAAGTCCCAATATTGTTCTACAATTTCCCCGAGAGTCAAGCTGCGCTTCAGCACAAAGGGCACCTTTATCTCCCTCTGCGACACTTGTATCACTGTATCCGGGAAGAGCTTCACGTTGTGCTCATGAAGGATGTCGAAGAAATGTCTCACTTGTTCCACAGAGTTTTTTGGTCGGACATAGACAACGTCACCCGGCTGATATTCGACGCCGTTCGCTTGTATCTGGATCAGTCTTACGTCCTGAAAGTGGTCCTCTGATGTGGTTTTTTTATTTTCGACCACCGTCCCTATTCGCACCTCATCCTTTATGAGTGCTTCCTCTGCATAGATGTTGTTTCTGGATTGACAAAGATTATCCATGGAACTCGTCTGACCCTTTTCTACCACGGCTATGTCATATCTTTCGATTATCGAGTTTTCTTTGTCAACTTTGTCCTCGACAGAAACGTTGAAAACATTCTCAACAACCTCCCAGAGTTTCTTTACCCAAGGATCAACAATGGCGTCTATTCCCAAATTATGCTGGTCATCCGCCAAGCCGATCGGTAACAATTCCTTTCCACCCAACTGTGCCAACCGCTTATTCAGCTTCTTTGCAGCAAAGTTGAATTTCTGGTAAGAGCTATCACCTAGACCTAGTACACTGTATTTCAGATCTTGCAGCATGTTTGTAGGGAGATTTTTGCGCAACAACAGCCGCCAAAATTGTCGCATATTGGCTGGAGGATCACCTTGTCCTGTGGTAGCTATCACAAAGATCACCAGTTGATCAGAAATAAGATTGCAAGTATCATAGTCTTCCAGAGATGAAACAGTGCTTTGTAATCCTTTTCTGCAAAGAAAATCAGTTTAATGTCAGATATTACATGTTCTGTAAAATATATATAGAAAGAGGAACAACATAAGTATACATGAAACTATATTTAATTAAATATTATTATAACAAATTGCATATAATTATATTATATAAAAAATTATTAAAGTGATTAAGCAATTATGCTTGAATAATAGAGCGCAAACAAGAAGACTACAAATACCAAGAATGAATCATTCTTGTTTAAAGAACATTTAAAAATAAAAATAGTTGGGCATGAAGTGAAAGCAGCTTGTGTGCCAAAGTCTTTCTGAAGAAGAAAGAGAAAGAAGATAACAAGAAAAGAAAAGAAAGGAAAGATAAGGAGGAACATATGAGGATGAAAATGAAAATGGAGATAAGGAAAATAATGAAGATAAGGATAAAGGATAAAGACAAGAATAAGAAGAGTAAGAAATCAAACAAGGATGAGTCCGAGGATAAAGATAATGATGAGGAGGAGGAGAAGGAGGAGGAGAGAATGGTGGTGGGTTCATGCCAGAAGAACAATAACAAAACCTTTTGGCACTCTTCCAGATCTGCTCGGCGACGTCTTGAGCGGTTCCGGTCTCGCTTCCGTATAATACGCGCACGATTACCTCACTGTTCATCTTCGTCATTGTGAATTTCATTTGAATATAAATCGAGACGGATTTTGTTCTCTTTTTTTTTCAGACTGAAACGTGTCTCCGATTTACGTGTCAACAATTTAACACGAATTTTTCCATTCTCTACGGAGGCTTTTCTGCAAACAGAAGATGAAATTTAATCTTCACTGAAATGCACCTAACTTGATTGCGACAGGCGGCAATTGACACATTTCAGCTGATCGTCAGTGAGGTTAGTGTATAGCCCGCGCTTCGGCACCTTGCAACCGCATCATGTGACGCTTCTGCACTCAGAAACAAAATGATAGATCTGTGATAAATCGACCTTTTCGGCCGGAACGTGCAGAAGGTGTAGCCAAAAGGCGTGCAACCAACCAGACGGCGACGCGGGAAAGCGCGTCTTGGCTCTCGCGACAGTTCGTCTGGCTGCGGAATCTCGCTCTTGACGAAATGTCAAGGATAAATGTCTAGGCTAAGCTCTCGAACGGTCGCTTGGCGATGGGCCCGAGATATTTATAAATAAAAAAATAGCCTCGCTCTCTCTCTCCCTCTCTCTCTTTTTCTTCCTCTTAGTCTCTCAATTTTCACCCCGTCCCTTCGTTTTAGCTGACCATCGTCGTGACAGATCAATCGATTGATCACTCGTGACAAGAGAGATAAGTCGCAGATTTGATAAAAACAGCCGCAAAAGTCGTGTGTTTGAGGTTAGTTCGGACCAACGAGCGCGAGCGCGCGCACGTTCGCGCAGGCTCTAGCGTGACGTAACGGTGCGGGACGTCGAGGAGCGTCGGTTGGCAACACTGACGTCCCGTCTGTTTGCGGATGACTGTCAAAACCTACTTTCGCGAGAGAGGAGCTGCGAGACCCTCGTCGCCGTCGCCGCCGTTGTTGTCGTCGTCGCTGCCGCACGCAGTCACTCGCATCGCGCTCGCTCTCTCTCTCTCTCGCCCGTTCGCTCACTCGTCGTGCTTGCGTGCGTGCGTGCGTGCGTGCGTGCGTGCGTGCGTGCGTTCACCGAGTTCGACGTGAAGGAAAGAAGAAAGAAAGCGGCATCATGAGCGCGCGTGAACATTCGTAGGAGAGAATGTCGTGGCGAGTGTCGTGATAACTCATCGTCCTCTTCAGTGAAAAGGGAAAGGGGGAGAGAGAGAGAGAGAGAGAGAGAAAGAGAGAGAGAGAGAGAAAAAGAGAGAGAGAGAGAGAGAGAGAGACGTCGCCGTTGCTGCCGTCGTCGACGTCGACGGCTACTCCGTCACTCGTCGTCGTTTCTTCCCTCCGCCGCCTCCGTCTCTTCACGTTCGTCCGCGGATTCTCCGTCGCCAAGGACGCGCCTCGGATCGGCCCCGCAGGATCAAACTCCAAGGTACTCGGATCCTCGACTCGGACATCCCGTACGCGTCCTCTCGTGCTCGGAGTCGACGGACGCCCACGCGCGCGCGCGCGCGCCTCCCCGATCCGCGTGTCGTGCGTTGCGGTGCAGCTATCTGCACTCCTTCCCTCCTCTCTCTCTCTCTCTTTCTCTCTCTCTCTCTCTCTCTCTCTCTCTGTCTGTACTAAAGCAGTGCGATCGCGTGACCGATGACTGGCTGATCGTGGGTTTCCACGACTGGTGTCAGTTTCAAGGTCCTCTCTTTCATGGAACCGCACAGCCGAGCGTGACGGTAGCTTCTCCGCCAGCTAGCCAAGCAGGCCAGGCACCTGGGTGGCCCTAGTTACTAGACACCTGAGAGCCACCGCGCGCGCACATATACACACACACACACACACATACGCGCGCGCGCGCGCGCGCTTCCGGGCTACTCTGCGAAGGTAGCGTCTCCGCTGCCGCGCGGGACTCCCGTCATCAGCTCGTTCTCGCGACAGTGTTTCCCCACGAGGCGCAGCAGCACACACGCGAGAGAGGTCAGTCAGCCACGGAGAGGCTCGGTCACGCGGTGTCGCGTGTCTCTCGCGGGTGCAGCCGAGTGTGTGACGCGGGCCGCCGCACAGAGCTGCCTCTCTCGAGGCTCTCCGGGTGCTCCTCCGAGGTGCAGCTCTCGCGCGGTGCGCCAAAAGTGCAGCCGACGAAGCAGCGGCGCGGTAGGCACTTATATTTAGATTCGAACAGATCGCGTTCGGTTCGTAACGACCGCTATTATTACCGAGCTCTTCGTCTCGGCGACTCGGTCGTTGCGAGTTCGAATTCGAAGTTCCCTCGAATGTCCCCGGAGAGGAACTCGAGAGCTCGCCTCCAGCTAGCCTAAGCGTCACCGTGGTGACACCCGGAAGACGTCTCCGAGAGCTTTCCGAACGTTCGCGCAGTGAACGTCGAGTAATAGTTGGGCTTCGGGCTTGTTCTTTCCGGCCGAAGCGCCGCTGCATGGGAACTCCGTTCCTTCTCCCTTCGACGCTTATTTGCATATTTCCTTGGCTCCAGCGGCAAAAAGTGCAGCCCGTTTCAGCTGAAAAGAGCGGGCCACCCGTCGCGTGAATGTTGTACTTTCCCAGTCAACAATTAACCCCGTTCTTCCCCGCTGCATTCTTTGCATCATCCTCAGCACTGGTTTCTCTCTTTCCCTCCGTTTTGCCAGTAAGTTTCCACTATATACCCGTCTCTCTTCAAGTTCCGAAAGTGTACATCAGCAGGGAAGGACTCATGTGATTGTTGCGTGTGATGTGCTATATCGCGCTTTTGTTGAATGCGAAGTTACAATTTCGTCACCGTTGCTCGATGTTCACTGGCTCGCGCTGTTTATTGGCTGCACATTCTTCTCGGGAAGTACTCGAAGAACTCGCCTCACCGCGGTGAAATCGGAGCAATGCGTGCTGCACACGCGGCGAGCACGGAGTTTGCACGCTCGCGACCTTCCGAGACGCGCTTATAGAGGAGTGTAACGCTTTCGCTCGAAAGTGCGCGTTCGTTTGAGCTCACGAGTGCAGAAAGTGCAGGAGGACGCGTCGGAGGCCGCAGTCGTTCTGCACTTTCCTCGCCGACGTCCGCGAGTGCTCTCGCCTCAGCCCACGTTTTCCACCCTGAGGATCGAGCGGACGGGCGGTTCGTTGTCTTTCGGCCGCACTTTCTCTCAGTCTTCCCCGCTGCTCTTCTCCCGCCGGACGCTCGGCTCGAGAGCAGCCAAGTGTGCGTGAGTGCAGAGAGTGTAAGTAAAACAAACCGCGGACCAGCGAGGACAACACGCGCTTACCCTGCAAAGGACACTTCATGTATCGAACGGTCGCTATAAATTATCTATAATTTGACGTCTCGCCGGCTGAAGCTGCCCGTTTTAATTGCACTCTCCACGCTCCGCGCTTCTCTCTTCTCTCTCTCGCTGCGGCCAAATCCAGCGAATCTGACAGATGGGAAATTCAGGAGGTCAAAGCCGGGACGAATAGACACCCCGTTGTTTGCGCTTAGCTGTGTACGTGAACAGCTGCAAGGGTAAATCGCCACAAGGGTCAAGGCAACGTGATTATGTAGTCTCCAAATACATGGTTTCATTCATCAGTCCGGGTATAACGGACTATTCGTCCAGGCTAAGCGAAGGAATGCTTCCAGCAACTTCGCACCAAGACCAGTCTGACGTTTCGGTTATCTTTCACTGTGTGTTCCAATCGACCAACTTGCTCCTCTACATCACTTGTGACTCCTGTCATCTCTTTCCAGAACTTCCATAGATGTTGCCACCACATTCAACGGCTTTGTTTCACCGCAACCTGTCACGATGCTGATCACATAGCGCAGACTGCACCGCACACAGAGGCTCGCAGACCTCCCAAGTGTACCATGCGTGGCAAGGCGTAGGGTCCTCCTGTGGGTCTGCTGCCACCTAGAACCGATCGCAATACCTTTAATGTCCAGTGCACACCAGCCAGCTGTCAGCTGCGAACCCGAGCTCTACCTCAGCATCATTTGCAAACCGCAGTGCTTTTCTCGTGGCCGAGAGCGAGTAAGAGACAGACCAGGGAGACCACACGCTTCTCTTTCACTGAGCATCAGCAGACGAAAATGAACAGCAGGCTCGAGGAAACGGAGTCGAAGTGGACCTGCGAGTACTGCACGTACGCCAACTGGCCGTCGTCGCTCAAGTGCACCATGTGCCGGGGCGCGAAGCCGCTGTTGGGCGAGGATATCTACCGCCTGCGCGAGCCAAGTCCGCAGCGGGCCTCGTCCAACGTCGCCTCCGGCCCCGTGACCCATCACCACCACCATCACCAACAGCAGCAGCGGGCGAGTCCCATCGCGGATCCCGCGTACGGCCACAATTACAGTCAGAACGTGCCGTCCGCGGGCAAGTGGTCGTGCAGCATGTGCACGTACCTCAACTATCAGAACACCACGCGCTGCGTGCAGTGCGGCAACCGGAAGCTCGCCATCATCGCCACCGGCGCCAGTGCGACCAATACTATCGCCAACGCCATCGTCACCAGCACCACAACCAGCAGTACCACCACCACCACCACCACCACCGCCGCGGCGACCGGCATGCTCGGCCAGTCGATCCACTCACTGGCGTCGAACCTGCACGAGCACTTGGCGCCGCTGCGGCTCGCCGATGGCCCGCCCAACTTCGGCTCGAACAACTCGCAGTCCACGCCGGTCATCAATCTGCACCCCGAACGGGCTTACTACGTGCAGCAGCAACAGCAGGCTAATATACATCCGGAGAAGTGGTCCTGTCACGCGTGTACTTACGAAAACTGGCCCAAGGCCACCAAGTGCGTCATGTGCGGCCAGCCCAAGGACAGGGATAATAGGCGGGACAACAGGTCAGCCGTGAGTAACTTGGGGGTACCGAGTCCCGAGAGGGACCATGGCCAGCAACGGGGCCTGCCCTCGCCGCCCCATGCGCCTTACATTCACCAGACGCAGCGGGAGGACAATTCGGCGATAGGCAGGAGGTGATTACGTTGCTTCATGATTACGATGCGACATGTCATGTTCATGAGTCCCATTTAATTGCGAGTTAGGATTTTTACTTGGGTCTTGGGTCCGATGAAAGAACTTTTGTTACTCAAATCTGGCATGATTGATGTACAAGGTAGCTAAGCCCGCGAGAAGCAGTAAATGCTGTTGGCAACTTGGTAGCAGAAATGTAACGAGATCTGTCAGCAGAGTATGATGACAGACTGTCGTCTGTCGTTCTGTAACTATTTAAATGTATCTAAATAGAGCATATCGCAGGTCTTGCTCGGTTTCTGCCGCCAATCTCCTGTTCAAGTTGTCATAGCTGGTAGAACACAAACTTAATACCAGCACTGTGTAGATCTGTTATGGCATTTTGATCGGATCTGCCAACCTGCTGGTATATTACTAATATTATACATGTTGGATCCGTTCTTTATAGTTGCATCAAGTTGCACTGTCTGTATTTCAAGCGAAACATCTGCATTTGGTGGAGGAGAGAGAAAGTAAAGATTATAAGACAGTTTAGAAAGTGAAGCTTTAAAGAACGGGTCTATAATTTATCTAAGCAAAAAGATGTTCCCAGTAATTTCGCGTTTTAACAATTCGACACTACAGCTAGTTTAACCGTCTACATTCTGTTATTATTATAATTTTTGTATTTATAATTAGATATTTTTTTCGGCGCCTCGCAAAAAATTTTTGTAGCATACACAAGTGAAAGTATTACGTAATATATATCTGTTTTTTACAGCTGTTAGAATATTAGCTGTACTTGAAATGAAGTAAATGTACATTTGACACCCGAACAAAGAGAGAAGAAAATAGAAAGATTTCGAGATAATATGGAAGATACAATTGTAAAAAATAGATCTACTAAATTGGTGCAAAAAGTCGATCGTGTTTGTCATATAAAGTAGTAGACGAAATTATCGAATTTCGAAGAATCAATAATTTTCACGAATTGAGTGAACAGCATTGGCTCGATACTTTTTTATTCATCTAACGAGAGCTTCTTATTTTTCTTTAATACTACTCAGACCTTCTACAAGAATTTAATTCCAGAACCAGATATGATTTATTTAGGCTATTATAAAGATTATTATAAAGATATTCTCGTCTTGTGAGCGTTGCATGTTCTGTGGATCTATCTGATGAATTTTATTTTATGACATACATATACGATTTGTTTCAGAACTCCACACAGGTACGCAGATAGTCGTAACGACAGTCTTTCCACTCCTCAATCCCCCAATAACTGTGATTACGAGCGCCGATTGAAGCAGCTGCGACGTCACACCGACTGGTGCTGGCTGAACGCCTGTCTCGGCATCGTCGAGGGCGACAACACCCCCGTAGAAGCTTACCTGGCGAGCGGCGGCGACCCTGCTCGCCAATTGACTCATTCTGAGGCTTTACTCCTCAACAGAAGTAGTGCTTTTGACGTCGGGCACACCTTGGTGCACTTGGCTATTAGGTGAGCCGCCGACTACGCCGGCTGTAGCGTCATGTTATCGAATATTAATATTCAAGTTTGGGAAAGTTACTTTACAAAAGTAACCCGTCACTGTCACATGTTACACGTTGGAGAAAAGTAATTTTAGACTTGGAACCAACTGTACTTTGCCATTGCCGTAAAAGTGACGTAAAAGTAACATTATCATTATCGTTACTCGCCATGCAGCACAAATTTTTAAGAAATGTCGGAAAGATGTCCAGATGAGGTCGGATATTTCTTAGATGTTCTTAGACATCTTCCAGAAATTTGCCTTTGTGTTGTCTGAGTCATTTTAAGAAGTAATTTGTTACCGTCATCGTTACTCAGGAACTAACGGGTCTTTATAGTTTCTGTCGCTTTTTTCACTAGCTTTTGAAGACTTTATGATTTATTGCAGTCTCGTGCGTATATATTCTACATATATGTGAGGTAAAGATAAAGATAAAAGTAACGATTATACTTATTACTTATAACGGTCTTATATTGGTTAACCAAAAGATATAATTGAGTTACTATTATTGTTCCTAACGAAAACAGATAATATCGTTACCAAGTCGTTATTGGAAAAAGTAGCTTGCAACGGTAACGAAGTTACAAGTAACGTGTTACTTCCCAACCCCGCAAATATTATAAAATATTCAAATGTTTTCAAGATATGAAAGGTGAGAGAAAAAACACATATCGATATATTCGCGATATGCAGGCTCGTACAGATCTCGAGTAATTCTCATTCGACGTTGGTATTTCGACAGGTTTCAGAGAGAGGATATTTTAGCTACGTTGTTGTCGCAAATAGAAGGTTCGGGCTCGGGAGTGAAAAGAGTGCCGAGTTATGTCGCACCCGATCTGGCGGGTCAGATACGCCGGCACGTTACCAACAGTATACGCCTACGGAAGGGCTCGTTTCCTTGTTATTTTGTCACGGACATGGCCACGTTTGCCTTACCAGCTGAGGTGATTATAACACATCAATTGTAATGATTAACGTTAACTTAAAATAACAAGATGGAATATTATAATATTGGTTTACCAGAAATGTTAAAAAGATGCATTTCCTAATTTGCCGATGTTTTTTAAGGTCGAGGACTTACCAAGCATCGTGCAGGAGCAAATGCTAGAGGAATTGTTAGATAAGGAGGCCCAACAACAATTGGAAGGCGGTGGCGGCGAACCGGCAGCTTTAAATTGGTCTCTAGAGATTACCGAACGGTTAGGCAGTCGTTTGCACGCTCTCTGGAACCGATCAGCGGGCGATTGTCTCTTAGACTCCGCCATGCAGGCCACCTGGGGTGTCTTCGACAGGGATAATGCTCTAAGGAGAGCGCTCGCCGACACTCTTCAACAAGCAGGCCAATTGTAAGCACATTTTGCGATATTATACGAGTAATAGTTGAGAGTGCAAATATATGTTTGTGTTTATACAATAATATAGCAATATACGGTGAGTTTCGAGTACCCGCTTTAACGCGGAGATAATGAACATTGTTGCAGCTTTTATCCCCGCTGGAGAGAGTACGAGGCATCGCAGGCATCTAGAATGTTAGATTTCACTTTAGAAGAGACGCAATGGCAGGAGGACTGGGAGAGCTTGCTGGCTACAGCTGCTCAACCTGGCAGCGCGTTAGAACAATTGCATGTATTCGCTCTCGCTCATATACTGAGGCGACCTATTATCGTCTACGGGGTCAAATACGTCAAGAGTTTTCGCGGCGAGGACATAGGTGAGTGCTCGACGAAACTTGAAGATTTCTTCTCGCGATTAGATAGATCGTTTCACTGTTTGCGAATGAATATCGACAAAGTTTTAAGCAATATTGCTTAATATCAAAGAAATAATAAATAATATAAGTAAATGATAAATAATAATATAAGTACAGATTTAAATTAATATATATATTAAATTTAATTACACATGTATTCTTTCGCAACTTGTAATGTGTGCTCTCTATCTGATATTTCTATCCTAAATTGAAGTTTAATGGAATCTGATGTATTCTCTACTGTTACTGGATTAAATTCACTCTGATAGATTTAGGCACACTCGTCTGGATAAAAAATCCACAAAACTCGTCATGTTTGCAGGCTACGCGAGATTCGAGGGCGTCTACCTACCACTTCTCTGGGAACCCTCGTTCTGCATTCGTTCACCAATCGCCCTTGGCTACACGCGAGGTCACTTTACGGCGCTAGTGCCGATCGAGCCTTACGCCTCGTCGCGAATACCACCTTTGCCGTCCCATCACCACCACGGCGGCGGGAATACTCCGCTCGAGCAGTTGCAGCTGCAGATGCAGACGACATTCATGCCGCTGATGGATCGGGAGCATAAGCTCCTACCGATACACTTCCTCAATCCTGACGAGGTCGGCCGTGAAGAATCCATTTACAAAGAATGGCTGGACGTCTGCAGGACTGAAGGTGGTATCCTTGTCGCTCAGCAGAAGCTCCACAAGCGACCGCTGCTCGTGGCGCAGATGTTGGAGGAGTGGCTGAATCATTATCGTAGATTAGCGTAAGTAGCAAATCACTCTTCTCGGTCTCTTTCACGTTGGCAATAGAATTGCTGTTTAACTCTACTTAATTTTAATTCTCTAACTTAACGTTTACATTAGAGTTACCGATGATTTTAACGCGATCTATTTTTACTGGAGTCGAGATAACAGGTTTTTGAAAAAATACGTTATACAAATGCAACAATGTTTATTTATTTCATTTTTTGTTTTATTTCAGTTTTGTTAAACGTTCAGTAAAGGGACATTATGCCAGGCAAAAATGTTTATTCTTTTTTTTTACTTTTGTTCAACGTTCACACACATTAAAAATATAAAATACGTTTATAAATATGAGTAATTTTTATAAAAGATAATAGACCTGTCATTTTTCTACCGGTTGATAATTTATTATTATTATTATTATTATTTATTATTTATTATTATTATTATTAACTCTGAAATTCAAATTCAACTCTTTCATTTAACATTGACTCTGACTTTAATAATTCCAATTAAATGATTCAGACTAAAAGAAAGAACTGTTTCCTTCCTCTCTCTGAATTCTTCCTCTTTCAAGTTGTTTATAAATAACAATATGAATATCTAGTTGTTCAGACTTAATTATGTTTTGTAAAAACAAAAAATGTAAAATTCCTCAAGCTTAATTTTAATGTTTTTAATGTTTTCGTTTTTATGTTACAGTCAAACTAACGACGCACCATTTTCAAGACCACCGACATTGCAGGATTATAGCAGCGACGGCGATACCGAGGACGAGTAGTAGTGAGGTAATCCCACGCATTGGGACTATGACATGAGAAGCATCCTTTCGCAGAAATTTCGCGGTATTTCATTTGTTTTCTCGCCCGGACTCTCGAAGAGGGCTTGGAAATTCCTCTCCTCTCTCTTTTCCTCTGTATTTTATTCATTTTTGCTTTACGACATGTACAGGAGCCTTGGAAGCTACCTGTAATTTTAACGTAAAGATAAAGATAAAATACAGGGACGAGAACGTTCCCTCCGAGTATCACTTGCAAAGATGCACTTATGATCGAAGTACCAATCGCCACACCTTTGTGAAACATGGATGCTTCTCGGCGGAATTAGGCTTAGGAAAGTGAGATCGGAGACCACGTGAGATACTTCGTCGGGTAACTCGAGCACCATTGAGTTATACCGCCACGTCCATATATACATATACATTCTCTCGCACTGGCAATGTACCGTCATTAAATTGAATGTTCAGTCGCCGCGTAGGGACCGTGAAATTTATTGAGACTCGGCGAATTGGTACATGGAAGGTTTCGGAAAGTCGGTGATTATCTGGTTTTTTCTTTTTTTTTGTTTTTTTTTGTTTTTTTTTTCTCCCGAAGAATCCTCCCCCGACTTGGTCTATTGACTTGTCGAGTCCACCATAAGAACGAAACGGTCGTTATAAGACAATCTCTACACGAAGTCGGCGAACGCACGCGATTGTCTTCTGTAGCCGCGATTGAACGTGTATTACTTTTTAAGCATTCGTTCTATGCGGCACGATTTTCTTCATTTTCACTTTTTCGCCGAGGTAGAAAAATACAAAAAAAAGATCGAAGATATTTGTTCTACCCTCTTTCTCCATCAGTATGCCGCATTTGATTTCTCAAGATGGAGGAAAGAGAGCGCATTGAATATATGTGTGTATATATATATTCGAAGTGCTTTTGCGGTACGATACGTACGATTATGTGTAAAAGAGTTATATATATGTATGTATGTATATATATATATATGTATGTATGTATGTGTGTATATATATGTATGTGTATATATATATATATCCACACAATTCATTGCCAGTGGCATCGGAATGAAAGTGTAGAGAACACTGTCGTTTGTTACATGTCAGATGTCGTTTTTTGCATAATAGAAATTTAATCTTTAGGCTATTGAAGACGGAATATAACAATTTTTTCACAAATAGTTTGTAAAGATAGTCTCGGATGAGAGAGTGCAAGAGAAAAAGAGAGAGAGAGAGAGAGAGAGAGAGACGTAACCTGTGTTTTAGAACAATTTCTCTCTCTCTCTCTCTCTCTTCCTCTCTCTCTCTCTTCCTCTCTCTCTCTCTTTCTCTTTCTCTCTCTCTCTCTTCCTCTCTCCTCTCTCTCTCTCTCTCTCTCTTTCTCTCTCTCTCTCTATCGAAAAATTACAGTATTTCCTAGAATTTTACGTAGATCGTAAAGTTTATTGAGACTCGACGAATTGATATATAGAAGTTTTCAGAGAGTCGATGATTATTTTGTTTTTCTTTTCTTTTTTCTCTCTCGAAGAATCCTTCCCTGACTCATTGTATCGACTTGTCGCGTTCGCCATGAGAATAAAACAGTTGTTATGAGACAATCTCTATGCAAAGTCGGTAAAGCACGCGATTATTATCTTATATAGCCGGTAATTTCCGGGATCGCTCGTTCGTCCATTCGCTCGTTCCACTTTTATTACGATGAACAAAGGAACACACAGGATGTCCTATTGGCTGCTTCGCAGTCGATTTGTATTTCAACGGAGAGATTCAACCAACAACTTTGGCCTTCGTGATTAACCGTCGAAGATGAGAAACTCGCCGCGAATAAACTTTTAGAGAAAAGGAAAACAACAAAGAAAAAGGAGCAGAAGTAAAAGGAAACGACGGAAGCGATCTTCAATTAATTTGAGACCAATTTAACGAAACTTTCCAGAGTCGAAAGTCACAAGTGGGGAAAATCAGCAAGATCTAACGAATGACGATTCATTTCCCGAGGAAACAAACACGGCACGGATGATAACATTCTGGAAAATCACATTATACTACCGGAGAAAAGGAGAGAAGAAAAAAGAAGAGAAGTGCAAAGCCGTTAGTCGCCTCGTCTCTTGCATCTCTTCCCTCGATTTCCAATCGATCGGAAACTTCCGTCGTCGGTCGAGCATGCGACAGTGAGATGGGACCACCCCCAACCCCCAACCCCCTCGCGAGCTCGCGATCCTGCTCGTTGTCAACGATGGCGAGCGTAGAGATCTATAAATTCTGTGTGTAATAGTTTTCAATTCACTCGTTACGATTCTATACTGTGTTAGGAAAAAGGGCAATGCGAAGCGACCGGCCATTGCAAACGAGCAACGATTTGTTCCCATAATCGGCGATCGCGGAAGTACATTGAGCGTTACATGTATGTTACATACACACACAACACAGCACACATACACAGACACATACGTACGCTTAAAAACTCGTGTTCTTTTCTCATTTTGTTTTTCTCCGCGAGCGTTGAGGCGTACAAATAGGCCAGGTTCTTCCGCATCTCTCATCCCGGATCCGCAACTTTGCTTTAAGACGCGTAAGTCTGTAACAAATCAATTAATCAATTAATCAATTAATCACGTTCATCAGAGTCGTTAATTCATAGACCTTAAGAAGAATAAACAACGCTGCGGTTGATTAATCTGCTTACTTCTTAAAGCAGGGTTGTTGATCCAGTCTTACACTTCAGCCGCATATCTCATGTACTTACTCGCGATCCCCCTCCCCCGTCCAACTTCCCGCCTACCTTCCACCGCCGAGTCTCGAGTGATATACATATACCTAATTCATTTTAAATAGTGAAAAACGTGTGACATAGTGCAACCAAAACGGGAAGAAAGCAAAAAAGAGAAAGAGCGCGGCCGGTGTGCGTGCATGAGAGACGGAGAGGCCACTCGCCGTACTGGCCGCTTTTCCGGCGCGTGTGTATCGACAAGGACTATAAAAAAACAGACGTGCAAAAAACTGCGCTTTTCTCTGTGGCGAGGAAAATGGGAGAAAAACAGAAAAAAAGAAACAAGAGTTGCGTGTGATTCCCCCCATCGTGTTGAATAAATAAATAAATATATAAATATATATATATATATATATACATAGAAAGAAAAATTACACACATATATATATATATGCATATATATATGTATATATATATATGCGTGTGTGTGTGTGTGTGTGTATGCATGTATGTATGTATGTATGTATATATATACATATACATACAGACATACATACATACATACATACATACATACATATATATGTATATATATATGTGTGTAATACTATACGATATACCGTAAAAAAATGGAACTTTTATAAAGCGATGAGAAATTAAAGAAACAAATGACATGTATTTCAGCATTAGGATTATTAAAAAGAAACACACCCGACATACATTCAGCCAATCATAAACACACAATACACACACATACACACACACATCTCTAACGATACATTCGCGAGCATACAAATTATGAAAACGATCGTGAACCCTAATCAAAAAAGTACAAAAAGATTCGCGAGAGGAAGGACGAAGACGCTTCTTCTTCATCGGAGAAACGTCCACATCGTTTCAGTGTATGGATAGTCTTTATTTCTACTAATTAATTCTAACGATAAACAAGTAGCTTCTAGTCCTTTTTACATATTGTAGCGCACGTCGTTCTTCTTTTCCTCGCGAATATTAATGAAGAAAGAAAGAATGGAAACAAGAGGGGAGACATTAGCGAAAGCGATCAACGATCGCGGCCCCACTAGGGGCTGAATTTAGCTCAATTTGGCGAAACCGAAGAGACGAGATGAGCGTCCCGCTCATTTCCTTCCGAGACATATACACAGGGATATAAAAAGGTGTACATACGTTATTTAGCGATGACATTGAATATTAAATTAATATTATTGCGGTATTATTGCGACCACCGAAATGTCGAAAAAATTTTTTATCTTGTTTTTCTTTCATGAAATCTGGCGTGTGACGAAGTGGCACACTTCCCGGTTTCTGAAGAACGTTCATTTTTGCTTATTAAAAGGGAATGGTTCGAGAATTTCTTCGCCGCCCCGAAACGCGTCTGTACATTGAGAGAAAAATGTCTAAGAAATAAAAAGTACTTATTTGGTGGATACTTACAGTAATATTTACCGAAATCCAAATTCTTTCATTATAAAAGATAAAATAAAGAACTGCTTTCATGGAAAGTTGCAGATTTAAGCAAATGTGCATTTTCTCATTTGAATACACTTCCTTCTCATTGTAAAGACATATATCTTAATATATTGATTACAAATGAATGTTGTATTAATATTATTATTGATATATTAATATAAATAAATATAAAATATATATAGCTGTTTATATAGTATTTTATACATATACACATATATATATATATATATATATGTATATATTTATTTTTATATAATTTCTATATATACATGTAACTGTTATTTTTTTATATGGTACTTACCGAATAAATAGGTTCTGTTTTTTAGATATTTTTTTCTCAATGCCGTGTCGAAGGAGAGGAATAATACCGGCCCTTCGATGATCATTTCAAAGGGTGGAAACCGCGCTATTATTCGGTCGAGTCCCAGTACTCGCGGATACAGCGAGCGTACGCAACGACAATTTTTTAATTTCCCGCAAATAAAAGAGACAAAGGGGGGGAGAGAGAGAGAGAGAGAGAGAGAGAGAGAAAGAGAGAGAGAGAGAGGGGGGGGGGTTCCTCTTCGAAGAGGAAGAGGTTCTCGGAAAGAGGCGAAATGCGATGAGCTTCTCTTTCTCGTGTACGTACCAGCGCAATCGTCGGCACATTCGACGGGGTTTCGTAACAGAAACGCACAACCCTTTGCCGGGATTTCGAAAATCGAATCGTTTCATCAGAAGCAAAGGATTGCAATTTGTTTGCCGATCAGTTGCAGCGAGAACTTAATTTTTTTCATCTAATCGAAGTCCTTTGATTCTTTTCCTTTAAACTGTATGGTTACTAACGACTCGCCCTGGCACAGGACTTCCGTTTCCTCTTTCTCTCTCTCTCTCTCTCTCTCTCTCTCTCTCTCTCTCGCAATTTTTTCTGCTCCGTCGAACCTCCTTCGTCGGAGATATTTTTAAGCGGGCAAAGGAAATGTTCAAACACGACTCGTGAACTGCCTTCCGGCTCGATTCAAATCATCGATACCGCTTTCCTGGTATTCAGCTCTTTACGAGCTTTTATCGGGAAATGCGACGGAAACTGTTCACGAGATCTCAACTCCATTTTGCATACGTTTCGCATGAAAAATTCCAATTCGGTCAGCAAGAAGAAATTACTCCCGCCACTTGAGAATTTCATGCGCTTCACGTTGAATTTATAGAACAAAGGGAGGAAACGACACAACGGGCCT